TAATTGAAAGTATTCCAACAAAAAAAGAAGACTTATTTACATATACACTTGATTGGTCACTACTTGACGCTGTACGTATTTTTTTTATTGTTTTTTGTATAAATTTTACTTTCTTTTTTTTTCTTGTATTGAAGAATCTAATGGAAAAACGTATTAAACCATGGGTAACAAAAAAAATTGTTGAATATATCGGTGAAGAAGAACCAACATTAACAGATTTTATATGTTCATCAATTATGTCAAAGAAGAATGCTGATTCTATATTGGCTGATATACGTGTTGTACTTGATGACGAAGCTGAAGTATTTGTTGTTAAAATGTGGCGTTTACTTGTCTATGAAATTGAAGCTAAACGGCATGGTCTAAGCAAATAAATAATTTGTTTTTCTTTTTTCTATTGTATCATTTTTTTCGCTTAGTCTTTTTGTTGCTGTTTTTTTTCTCTCTCCGACACTTTTCTTCGTTCTCGGTGTGTGTGCGTGTGTGTAGATTCTTACACATTTTCTTCTATTTACTAAGAAACAAGAAAGAAAAAGAAACTTAGATTTACGTGCGTTTCTGTTATCCTATGTACAAAATAAAACTTATTTCAGTTAAACAAGAAATCGTACTTATATGAGTAAACTTTCTCTTTCGTTTTTTTTTAAATGGAATAGACATCATTTATGATGCATATGTATTTGTCTCTTTTTCTTTTTTCTTTTTTTTGTCTTCTTGTCTTGTCTATGATTTGTCAACACATATAACAAACAAAGAAGAAAAAAAAAGCAGAAATATTGTCATATATATATATAGGTGATTTTTATTTTTTGCATGCTTTTGCAAGTGTTCTATAATTAGCTATAATTGAATGTAAAAAAGATGTCTTTGGTATCAATACTAAACTATTGATATACAAAAGTTTTTATTTCATGTTACAAAAAAAGTTTTCTTTTAAGAATGTAATTCGAGTTCAATGTCTACTAATTTATTTTACACATTATTTTATGCTCAGAAATTCTCAAGTTTTCTATATAGAACTTTATTTTCAATTTTGAAAATAAGTTTCAGTTGAAATTAATTGATAGAAATCGCAGGTTTTTATAATAGATATCATTGGCATATAAATATAACTGTAATGTAAAATAATCATTCGATGCAACGATGGTAAATAGATAAGATAAGTTTTGTAGATAATTCCTCATCGATAGTGATGAAGACTCTCATTCATCAAATTTGTTAGATCACTTACTCTGTAAAAATAAAGCGTCAAATAATAAATCCTACAAAAGGATTTATTAGATTCAGAAATTCGACATCAAACTTTCCTGAACCATTTTAAAATACATGCCAATTTCATAAATCCTTGCATGGCTATGAAGAATAACTAGATTATATTCAAGTTTCACTTGGCTGCAAAATCCAGTATGAAGTTTCTAAGGTTTTGATGATTGAATGTCGAAAATTCATATCCTTTTTAGTCGCAAGCTTCACCTTCATCCTCACTATTGTGTTATGTGCACGCGTGTCATATTACATTCTATTGACAAAAGTTTAAAAAAAGTATTTTTTTTACTAAGGATTTACAATGATTTATAATTTTCGGCATTCTATTTTCAACATTGTCACGTTAAATATTTAGCTACTTTCTCGTTTCAAATGATAATTGTCTCATCACTTGTATTCACAGGTGTTTTAGATATATGAAAAGAGAGTGGTAGTCAACTTTTGTTGTTATTTTCGTTTTAATTATCTTAAAGCTAAAAATAAAAACTAATTCCACAAAAACTTGTGTTCAGGTGACTTTTCGTGAGAAAGTAGAATATGAGATTGAAGATCAAAGAACAGATAATATAGATTCGAACATGAAATTTCATTTTCATGTTTGTACGAGTATTCTTTGACTTTCCGTTCTCAAGATTTTCATACCGAAAAACACGTACTTTCGATGCATACGTTCAGAAAGAAGCAAGAAAAGAAAAAAGAACTCCCAAAGAACTGCGCAAATGCGATACTGCGCACAGCATCAATAAGTCCTTCAAGTATTTATGATAATAAATAGTAAACTTTTCACGTATTTATTATCTTTATAACCATCCAATGTTATATGACAATGGCAAATATCAAAAAAGGGCTTGAAAAAAATTTGATGTACGATTTACTATTCTACGACTTTGTTTTCACAGTGTATACTAGTCTCTTCAACTATATCAGCAAACGAAATTGTCAAAAAGAAGTTCATACTTATAATTGATTTTGCATAATACGATCGAATTGAATGATAAAACGTTAATCTTCATGAATCGGAGTATTTGTTGCATAAATACATATAAAAAAAGCATCACTCATAAAACGTTGTTTTCATTCTGCATCCCAAAAATACTTTGTTTTCAATAAAAGTTTTTTCCTTTGAAGTTTTTGCACAAAAAAGCACTTACGTATTGGCATAATTTCTAAAAATAGAATATTTTGTTATTGTTTGTAATTGACATTGTTCGTTTTTTTTTTCAATTCTTTTGTGCCAAAAAGCTGTGTGCTACACAAACAATTGTTAGATGACGATAATAAAACAGAATCGAGCAAACAGAATAACCATCACAACAAAAAGAAAATCGAAGTTTGCTTTTTACATAGTTATTATGAGAGCATGACACCTGATATTCTTTCCTTTTCTTTTTCGTCAGTTTATTCATAATCAGTATTATCGAACTGAGTGTTTATAAAACATTCGATCTATTAATTTGTCTTCTTCTGTCATAATTTCATTCTGTTAAAGTGTCATATGTAAGAAAAGCAAATATATATAATATTCTTTATCATTCAGAATAAATAATATACGTCTTTTACACACAGCTGTCACATTGCCCTGAAGTATTATAAAAAGATAAAAGAAAAAAAATTTTTTCTTGATCATTTCGTATAACAACTCAAGAGAAAACAATGAGTGGTACTACTAACTCATCATCAACACATAACACTAGTGGTCGTGCTCATTATAAGGCAACAAAAACAGTGACAGATCCTGATGGGAAGACACATACTGAAACAATCGAAATGTTTGACGATGATGCGGTCAAGGTAAGTTTACTTTATAGTAACAGATGTTATTATTCTTATCATTTTTCAATATTTAACATTAGTTTATGCGAGATTTACGTTCCAATCGTAATGATGTACCTGATTTAGATCGATTTGGATTTCGTCCATTGATAAATCCGACAAATTTTTCTCAATTAGAACAACATAGTGAACAAAATATAAAATCATCAAGACCATCATCTTCATCAACAACAGAAATACCAAGTTCTAAAAGTTCGAATGTTAGCCAAAGTAATAATGAATTTTTACAAGAATCATTACAAATACATAATGAATTAAGACGACGTCATGGTGCTGAACCTTTACAGTTAAATGATGATCTATCAAAATTAGCTCAAACATGGGGTAAATGAAGGAAAAAAAATTATTGCAAATATTATTATGCATCTTAAATTTTTTTTTAGCTAATCATTTAGCATCGACTGGAACACTGATACATAGTAAAACAAAATATCGAAATGTTAATGTTGGTGAAAATCTTCGTTGTCAATCATGGCCAATTACAGGTTTCTTTTCTCTATATTACTCTTTTTTTTTCTTTTCTTTAAACCATATTTTTTATTTAGGTAAAGAAGCGACAGAATCATGGTATAATGAATATACTAAATATGATTATCATAATCCTTCATATCAACCTGGAACTGGTCATTTTACACAAGTTGTATGGAAAGGTTCACAAGAAGTTGGTTTTGCAAAAGCACAAAGTACATCAATGAATTTTGCTGTAGCTATGTATTATCCACCAGGAAATTATGTTGGTGATTTTGATAGAAATGTGTTGCCTCCATGTTAAAAAATCTGTCATTTTTTTGCTTTTTATTATTATGTAAATATTCATATTTATTCGGACTATTATTTAGTAAAAGAATAAATTATAAGAAAAATGAATAGAGAAAAAAGTATTAAATATAAATACATTTTCCACCAACCAGCTTGAGATAGTAGTTTCACACGATGATGTGCTTGACCAATTAGACTACTTGTAAGATTCATAATTGTTTGATATTTCTAAATAATAAAAACAATTTCATCATATCAATATGAAGTCTATTATTCAATTTAAACCGTTAAATCAGCATTTTGACGTTTAATTTCATCATTAATTTGTACTGTTATATACTTAAGTTTTTTAACTTTTGAACAAAGTTGTTCAGTTTGATTTTCAACATAAGAATTATTTGTATGTCTTGAATAAATATTCGAAAATCGTACATCAACCATTTTGTATCAATCTCAATAATAAATTGAACATATACAAATAAGATATATGATGACATTAAATGCGCCACGTCATAACTTTTTTTGTCATGATGATTCATTATTACAAAATCATTTTTATTACATAAGCTCTCTTTCTCAACTTCATATAATAGAGAATAATAACAAAAAAAAAAAACAAAAATTTAACCACACGTCTAACAACAAACAGTAGTAGTAATTAATAGTAATTAGTAATAATAGTAATAATTGCCGAAGAGAAAAAAAAAAACAAGAAAACAAAATTTTGAAATATGATTATCGTTCGAACAAGTAAATCGCAACAAAAAGAAAAAGAAAAAGGGAGGAGAATGCTATACAAGAAGAGCACACAAATGAGATATCTTCATCCTTGTTTTCAAAAACAGTTATCATCACAAAAAACTTAATATGAGAGAGAGAAAAAAAAAGAAGAAGATGAAATTCATAAACAAAACAAAATGTCTAATTGCTATATAATTTTTTTCTTTTTATTGTCTATTATATTTCGATACGAGGAATGTCATAATGCTGACCAGCAGCATTCATTTAATCAGTGACAATATTTTACTGTTCACATAAGTAACAAAGGACGGATAATTACAACTGTCAATAGAAGATTTGTATTCATTCACAGTAGGAAAGAAACAAAGTTCGTAATTTTCTTTTTTTTGTTTTATTTTATTTTATTTTCCACCACTACCACCAAATAATCTTCGTTCTTTTAATTTTGTCATACTTGATGAACGTAATCGATTTCCACTATGAGCTGGATGTTGGAATGATGTTGGTTGTTGAGCTAGAAGTCGTTCACGAATTCGATCCAAATCAGCATGTTTAAGTTCTTTTAATTTCATTTTTAAATGATCACGATCTTTACTTGATTTTATACCCATAGCCTATGATAAATAAATTAAAAATAAAATTCAATCATTTGTTTTTTTTCTTTACCTTCATTTTGGCGCTATCAAGTAATAAAAGTTTTTCACCATCAATATTTCGACTAAGAAATATTGGAATAAATGATGCCATTTCTTGAGATGTTAACCATTGAATACATTGATCGGATGTCCAATCTTTTACTTCAACAAACTTCAAAAAACAAAACATAACATAAAAAAATTTTCAAATAGTTGATGGTGGTTTTTTTTACTTCATCAGTAACAACATTATTATTTTTATTGTTTATTGAAGGATCTAAATACAGAATAAATTATCTTAGATCATATTAAACTTAATGAGAATTAAAAAAGGAAAGTTTATTATTTAGATCTCCGTTTCATGTTAAACCTTAACTGCATTATGACTCTAAGACTTGGTCACATTAGAATCTGGCATTGTCTGGCTAAGCGAACCTTATTTTAGTTTTAGAAATATATGTTTATCTATCTATCTATATATATATATATATATTGTGATGGAGAAAACTTAAAAATCGATACTCCGATAAAACTTACTACCTAAGGTTCATCGTAGAATCTTTTATTTTTTTCACATAGAGTAGATTGTCAAAATGAACCAATAGCAGAATCATGCGCCCAAAAGGCAAAACTATCTGTATTTGAGCATTTGCTTTCTCTTTCGTTATATTATTATGCATTTCATTTTATTGAGTGAAAATATTATTTTGATAACCAAAACTTCAGAAAAAGAGATTAAATATTTTGTGAAAAATGTTTATTTTGTATCTATCTGAATTGCGAGCTCTCATATTTTATGGATTTGTTCAATATCATAAATCTACTAGAATGGTAGATGATTATGATAACATTCTTCATGTTCAAAATAACATTTAATGTTAATGCATATTTAATCTGATAAAAAGCACTTTATTTAAATATTGTATCAGTGTACATATCTTGAATTATAATCTATAAATATCATCAAAACGATCCGTTATATCGATTCTTGAATATTTTATAAAAGAAAACTAAAATCTGCATCTACACTCACAGAAATAGTTTGAAAAAGTTTATTACCTGAGCCGTCCTCAGTGATATGTTCAGGTAATTTGTAACAAGTTTGCTTAGCATAACAAATAAACTTCCATTGAGCCTCATCTCATTTAAAAATATTCCGGCAATTTTGTCTAAAGATATGTAACGAGTTCAGCTTTCAAATTAATTTTTTATAAAACACAAAAGAGAATGAATATTTCATCTAAATTGTGGAATTCAGATTCCTCTCTTATCAATAGGTTCCTGCAACCAAATCCCATTCATATGTAAAGAACATGACTAAAACCCTCTTATTTAACGAGGGACCTATCCAACCGCTACAATCTGTTTGGGCTCGTATTTCAATAATAAGCAAGGTTCATCATTTCGATAAAATTTGTAACAGGGTTCGTGCCTGTAAGCTTTTCTTCTCGAGTTACGGTCATTTTACTGGATTTCCAGTATATTGCAGGATATAACAAAACGAATTGAGATGAGAAGTTTTCGCCTGAAATTATGCTAAATAATTGATCTCACAGTACTTGTTATATTCTGAAAATTTCAATTCAAAAGGATAAGCTTTTCTTCAGATATGAAATACCTAAAAGATGGACTATTTTGTGAGATTTTATCAAAGTCATGTTTTTTGCAAATATATTATCTCAAAGAAGAAGCATTCTTTTGAGCTGCAACTTCCAGGATATAATAAATACCATGACATATATTCTTTGAGAAATATTTCAGACGGAAACTGCTTAGTGCAACCTTTTTCCTTATATCTTGCGATATGCTAAAAACTGAGTAAAATGATCATAACTCGCGAAGACTTAACGGCATGAATTTTTTTTTGAACTTTCATCTAAACTATAATTCGCATTCATAAACAAAATATGAGCTCCAACACAAGATAGCAATTAGATGAATTGTCTTGTAAGAATACAATAGTTCAGTCGTTTTGCACTTGTTAATTCTATTGAGATTTGAATATCTCTATTGTCTTGCTTACAGCATAATATAATGAATCTCTTCTTAAAGTTTGATTAGTTTTAGAAGTATAATTCAATAAACTTTATTAATAATCATACTTGTAGTTTGTTGTTCTATTGATGGAATTTTTGAATTTGAATTTTTAATTTCAACATCATCATTTTGCTGATTCGAAGCTTCATCAAGTAATGGATTCGATAAACGTTTTGATGGTAAATTCCTTGGACGTGTCTTAGCTATTTGACTTTTATCCATTTGTATACTATGATTAAGTATTGGACTACGATCAACTTCAAAATCAAGTTGATTATTTAATTTATTATTTGTATTATTATTATTATTATTATAATTGTTTGAGATTTTTTCTAATGATGTTGAAGGTAGTCGAACTGACGATGTTCCTGATGTATTTCGACTTGGTGGACGTTCAGGAGCTATTAAATGTTGACCAGAACTTGTACGCGATCGAATCGGTATACGTTCAGGTATATCGGGTGGACGTATTATAACAGATTCGCTACTTGTACTTGGTAATTTAGTACTACGTGTTAAACATGAACTATTATCTATGATTCGTTCAGGATTTATCATTGAATTAGCCATAGCTTTTTCAAGTTCTTCAATCTAAAATAAATTTTTCTTATGAAAAATAAATATTAGCAAAAAAAACTAGAAATAACAAACTTTTTTTATTAATTCCAAAATTCGTTTTTGTTGTTGTTCAGTTTTGTCTACTTGTTGAGTTTGTTGTTCTCGTAATTCTGTTTCACTAAAAAAAAAAGAAAAAAAGAAATTTAATGAAGAATCATTTATCCGATATGACTATTAAAAATTTTCCTTTCCTATACGCAAAACTCCTTTTATTGTTTTCTTTTGCTTTATAGCAAACACAAAAAGCAACAAAAATAATATATGACTTATTTTTGCTAACCTTCACCTAATTACGTACATAATTCGATTCTTTTATTTCAAAGATAAATAAGAATAAAAAAAGATTATTCATTAAGGAATAGATTTTTTGTTTTTACATACCGATCTTGCAATTCTTTAATTAATTTTTTAGCTTTTAAATATTTTTCTTCAATATGTTCGAAATCTTTTTTCGTTTGTTCATAGATTTGCTTGAAACAAAAAAAAAATTTAATTCATAAAAGAATAAATCAAAAGAATAAAAAACAAACTTGATAATATTCTTTTTCTTTTTCAATATTTGCTAAAGTTTTTTCTAATGATTCATAACGTTGTTTAAGTATTTCAAATTCATATAATTGATGAGATTCTTCTTTAGGTTGTTTGTCGGTCATGGACCATATTTGCTAAAAAGAAAAATTATATTTATAATTTTAATGAATAAAACAAAAAAAAAAGAAATTTTTTTTTTGATTATTCAAAATACTTCATAATTCTTTTCATGTGCTTTAGCTAATTCATGATGATGATTTGTTGTTATAATATTTTCATCAAGTTTATCTTGATCAATATTATCATTTAATTCTAAATTTGAAAAACCATCGTCATTTAAATGTCGATCATTATATGTATCATGATGATGTTGTAATGCTCTTGACATTTCATTACGTTCTTGATCCATTTGTAATGATTGTTGAATAAGACGAAGAATTTCAGAATTTTCAACATCTTTTTCACGACCAATTACAAATCTTAATTATTAATTCGAAATTATGAACAATAAAAAATTAAAAATAATAATACACTCAAATAATTAAAAACCTTACCGAACTAAACCTGATGTTGCTTTAAGTACATTTGTAGCATATGTATGTGTTACACCAACAAGTGAATGATCATCGACTTCAATTATTTGATCACCTATTTGTATTCTAGAATAAAACAAAAAAATAGGCAAAGGTTATAACAGCAACGTTTCAGATTTCTTATCTGCGAAGTTACGTAGAGAGAACGAGGGAGAAAATTAATGGCGTAACCAGAAGGGGAGCTCAGCATCTTTCTTCCTCATCAACTATTGAGCTCCACTTAAAAATGACCTTGACACTCTTCTACACACATGGTTACGGGATTGAGCTCCACTATAACTTTCTTTCTGGTAACGTCATTAAACCCAATGTTAAACATTACAGCTTTTATCACATATTCTTCATCAAGAACTATAACAGACACAAGTGTCTGTCTGTCATATTTTCTAGAAAGTGTCCATGATGACATTCTATGTACTTGATATGACTAAAAGCTCTTACAAGAGCCTCTACAGAATTAATGTATTAATATAATAGAAATACATTCTACTTGAATAAAACTTAAGCGCACTGTTTTATGTAATTCAAATAATATAAAATTATATTAAAATCAAGTCTGAATAAGACTATTTTTTTATTTTAAAGAGATTCTTGTAGAAACTCCTAATGAAATCAATAATGCTTGTAAACAAAAGTTAGCATTTTCTCATGTCTGGAGTAAAATACTTTGTCCTATAACTCCTAATATGGTTGTATAATGTACTATTAATTCGTCTCATAGATCATGATATATAGAAACATCTATGAAGATTTGTAAGATATCAATCTTCTTCATTTCTTGACATCTCAGTACTTATTAGCAATTATGTTTGACAAGAAGCAAAAAGTCATAAAACATACCGTCCATCTAGGGCAATAACACCTTGAGGATTAAGTGATTTAACAAATATACCCAATTTTTCTAAGCCACTATCAGCACCAACACCCATTCCCAAAACACTAAAATAAAAATATTCAATTTCAATAATTTAGTGTTATATGATAATATACCTTATTCCAAGACCATCAGGTCCTACAAAAAAAAAGATAAAAAATAATTTTACAAAAAAAAATGCTGTAGAAGATTTAACGACAAATACCTTTTTCAATTTCAACATTGAAAACATGCATTTTCTCGATTCGTTTTTCTAATTCATATTCAGCTGATGCTGAAAAAGGATCAATTTCATCATTTCGTCTATTATATTCACTTGGTGAATATGTTGGATATACCTAAATTTAATTTATGAATATTTTAATTTATTCTGAAATTCTTTTTTTTCATACTCGAATTGGTGCATTACTAAATTTAACACGTCTAGTTCCATTTGGTGATAATGTTAGATCATCATTATTATCATCATTCATTTCTGGTATACCTGGCTTTTCATAAAAGATTGGTGATGATGATGTACTACTAGGATGAACATAATCAGGATCTAAATACATATATATGTATAAATTAAATAATCAACAAAAAAGAAAATAATTTTTTACTATTTAGCATTGGATTTTCAATCCATTTTTGTTCATCATCATCATCATCATCATCATCTTGTTGCTGTTGTTGTTGTTGTTGATCTTGAATAAAATGATTATTTTCATGTTTTTCTTCATCATTTATTGATGATAATTGTTGTGTATCATTTTCTTGAAATGATAATTTTGGTAATGAACGATCAATTGCTGTTGGTTTAATAAATATTGTATTAAGATGATCCATACGTTTAAGAATATTTGATGGTAAAATAGATGCAACAATACGATTAGCTATTTCTTCATTTGATGGTTTTGATATATTATTTATTGAATCATTTTCATCACGTTGATGTTTTTTTAATTGTTCAATAGCATCAGCTGGAAAATCATAATGTTGATCAGAATTTATTTGTTTTCGATTAACCATAGCATAATGAACATCATCATTTATAATTAAAGAAGTCGATGGTAATGATGGTAGTACAGTTCGATGAACTGGAATTGTTATAAATGATCGATCAGAATGTGTAGGTGAAGATGAAGATGATGCACCAATAAATTGTACTGGGATTTCACGAATACGATTTGTATTAGAATCGAGATTTTTTGATAAATGTTCAATTTGTTGCAGTTGTTGTTGTCGATGATCAATAATAAGATCAGGTATATGTTCTGTATTTATTTGTGGTATAATTATTTTTTGTTTATCATGCATAAAATCTGGTTGATATGTTTCATCAATGTATTGTTCATTTTGTCTTATTGGTTTTGTTGCTGTTGTTAATGAAATTGTCGTACGTGCTGCTTCTTCTTCTAATGTTTGAAACATTTCTCGTGCTTTACGAAAACGCATTGTATGATCTTCATTTGAATTATTATTATTTATTGTTGTTGTTATTGTTGTAGATGAATTTTCATTCATTGTTAATGATGACATACCATTACGCATTGCATTCATATTTGATTTATTAATATCAAGTATACGTGGATTTGATAAACTTCGACTACGTTCAATAATTGTTGATGATGATGTTGTTGCTAATGGTAATAATGGTATTGGTGGTGATAATGAATTTTCATCAGCACCGTCAGCTATACCACGTGTTGGTGATGTAAGATCTTGATGATGATTACAATAACGAGATCGATGTTCTCCAGGTTTTAAATCATTCAATGTTAAAGCATATTGAGTAAATACACTACGTAATCTACTCACATGACCGATATATTTATTAGTAGTATTTGAATTGTTACTGTTGTCATGATTATTATTATTTGCTAATGTACGACTATGATGAATTGTTGTATTATTATTAGAATCTGCTGTTGGCGAATCAACGATAAGATTTGATGCCGATTCAGTATGGGTAAAAAGAGAAGGTACAGCTGGTTGGATGAGGATGTCCGCCATTTGCTCTTTTCTCCTTTCTGTTATCGTAATTTTCTTTTCCTTCGTTGCTTTCTTGTATTTATATCACGGTTGCTAATGCTTGCTGCCTGTCGTAATATTTCTCGTTTAGTTACTAACAACCGTCCCACCTATCAATCACTAATGGTATAGTTTTATTCTTTGTTCTTGAAGATATTGATGCCAATAACAATAAATGATAGTTAACTGATGCATTAGAAATAATAATATTAATAAAGACAAGAGAGATTTTAAAAAAAGAAAAATCAAAGACTAAATGAATATCTAAATATAGAAAAAAAGAGTAGAATGTAAAAGAAAAAAAACTTCTTTTTCCTGATAACTATCGAAGAGAAAAAAAAAGGTCAATTGTAAAAGAAAAGATGTTTATCGGAAGATAGATGAGGCACACTATTGACATTCTACCCTATCACATACAAAAAAAAAGAAAAAAAAAAGAAAGAATACCGACCAGTGGACTAGTCTTGATTGTATATTTACAATGGAGGGACAAAGAAAGGAATGAACAAATGTTCAAGGACAACAAACGACAATGATCAGAAGAAAAAACCAATCATATTTATGCTCTTTAAGACAATTAGGAAGAATGAAAAAGAATAAAGAGGTATCGATTACATTGTTGATGTATTACAGATGATACATTCATTCGAAAGCCAAATAAAAAAAAAAAAAAAAAGGTCGACAATGAACGGACATCCGTCTGACCATAATCGATCGATCGAATTGCCGTCAGCGACCACTAATACGTATTAGAAAAGAAAAAAAAATAAACATGATAGCTAATTTGTTGAATAAGAGCGCCAATCATGAAATTTTTTTTACTGACGTCAGATTCATACGACCTCTACCTATAAAAAGTCAATTACGTGTCAATATTTGCAATACGGTTTTTAAGTAATCATCATTCAGTTCAGATTATCTATAGCAATATTTTCTGTTCTGAAGAAGAAGAACAGAACACAAAAGAAAAAAGCAAACTATTGTTCTTTGCAAATAAAAATTAATTTTTAAAGGTAAAGAGAGATAGAGAGAGAGAGAGAGAGAGAGAGAGATCATTGAATAGCTTTCATTCTATACAGATATTTTGTTTTATTTGTCATAATCCTTTGAGCACCATCATGTAAAAAAATATTTGCTTTTTATTCTTATCTTCATTATCAGTTATATCCATAGATTCTATTTATAGACTGTTTTAACATAGTTTCGAAATGTAATTATGTGCTACAAGGTCGTTAGATTTATTTTTAGTATTATCTATAGTTAGTAACAAATTTTCTTTCTAATAGTCAAAAATGTATTTTTAATCTTCATTATCATTATTAAAATATAACATATCCTTAGTTTTTTTCGGTCTAATGCCAATAGTACTAGTAGAAAAGAAAATCCTATGTAATAAGGAACTATAAATGTCACGCAACCATATTGCGACGATGTTACTATTACTAAAAAAAGTCGTCATCCTTGTTGTCACTGGAGAATTCTGTAAGTGTTGTTGCAAAAAAAAACAAGATAGAATAAAAAGAGAAAGAGGAAAAAAAAGAAAAGAATATAAATTTGATCATATCTCATCTAAGCTATGCTCGCGTGTCTTCGGCGAGTTCGAAGTAGTGGATGCTTAAATGACGAAAACGTGAAAAAAAAATACTACGTTACAATAGCACTCACATTTGCTGCTATTTTTAGCTTCGTCTCTTTTTCCTTGTTTTCTTTTTTTTTCTCCTCCTTTCTTTTTCTCTCCACTCAATGCATATGTGTATTTGCGTCAGGATATGACAGAATGTCGTTCTTGATGCTTATTTCTAGGTCTATATTTTCTTTGTTTTGCGATCGAGTTCTTTTACATTAGTCGTCTCGACGTTATATTTATAAGTAAACTATTAATTGATGATAAGTTTTGTTGAAATGGAAATTTATTGATGGTAAGCGTCTTTCAAAAGTTCGTTTTAGTTTTTTTTTGTTTCTATCTAAAAACAAATGAATCCTAACCGAATAACCTAGTATAATATCGCTGATACTATTTACACACAATTAAACATATTCATACAATCGTTTAAGAAATTTTTCATGCATTGTATTGATTCATTCGAAGTTTATTCTCAATGGATTACAATATTTTATCTATTGATATATAAAAATATGAGATTACAATAGCAAATAATGAGAATTTTAGGTACATTGGCAATTATCGCCTTAGGGTCAAGGCTTTATATTCTTAGCAGACAGAAATAGCAAGGAAAAAATAGAATGTTTGACGAATGTCTATTGAAAAGCGGAAAGAATAATAGATCGTGTCGTTGTGAATTCCTTGAATAAGAAGAAAAAGAAATAAAAGAAACGAAAGAAGAAGAAGAAGTTTGACAGAAGATAATAGTCAATGTACTACTTGGCAAAAGAAATGATGAAGGAAACAAAAATAGACACTACATGCAATCAACACCTTTGCGAATCGTCCATCATAGCTATATATAGTAAAACACATGATAAAACAGACAGCTATACCATCAACAAGAATAACGTCCACGCAATCAATAAATAAGCAAGAAAAAACACAGGTGAGATTCAATATGTGGCAAATGTCGTAGTAATTTTAAAAAAGAAAAGAACTAAAATTGATACTTGAAAAAATTTCTTCTCTTTTTCTTCTTTTTGAACGAATGCCTAGTAGTTGGTGATTATTTTTTTTTTCTTCTTCCATTCTTCCTGTTCGTGCAGAATTTTATGTCCTCTTGTGACTATTATTATTTTTGCTAAGGCATTCATTTATTCATTCTGTTCGTCTTTTCTCATTTTCTTTTTTTTTCTATTCATTCATAATAAAAAAAAAACCGACAAGAGAAAAAGGTATATAAATATACTTATATATATATATATATATACGTGTTGTTTTTGTATTTCATTTACAAGAAAGAGATATAACATGCAGAAAGTGTCTACCTTTTTTAGAATAGAATAAATTTCGCTATGCCATATTAAGCATGCTTTTACGTATATACGAGCAATATATCGTCAAACAAAATTTTATATAAAATAACTGCTTAGACAGTGTTGTTTTGTTGTTGACGAATGCAATTGTGCGCACCTGCGAGGGAGAAAGAGAGCTGTCATTGCAACTTAAGAGAAGGGAGGGGCCGGGTGATGTACTACCATGCATATTTTTGCATTTTTTTTTTAAGTTGACCAATAGCAGTAGAGGGTAGAGATGAAAGAACACGATCAATTCAAGTGGAGTAATGCGCCTGACATAAGTGAAGCATAGTTACTATTAGATGGTCGCAACAGCCTCATTTTGTTAGAAAATTTTTTTTTACGTATGTTTTTAATAATAATAATAATAATAATAATAAATAAATAAATCAAACTATTTTTGAATAAACGAACGAGAACGAGAAATTGTGTCTATCTATCAATATTAATGATTAAGAGAAAAATAAGAAAATATGTTAATAATACTATTTCACTGCATTATGTGTGAGATAAAATAATATATTCAATTTAATAAGTATTAATAAATCAAAATTATTAGATAAATAAAAGTTTTTGTTTTTTTATATATTATCAATTGTTTAAATTCAAATGATCTTTACTAGGCCTTATTTGTAAGTCGTAGTACGTTTTTTTGTCAAGCCTCAGTTTTTTTTTCTTTTTATCTTCTATTTTTTCTCGCCCTCAAGTTTTTTTTTTTCTTTTTACTCATCTCATATAAAAATAGAAAAATGAGATATCCAAAGACACAAGAAATGAAGAGGAAAAGAAAAAAAATACTTCAACTAAAGTCAACTGACAGACATAGATAAAGCAAACTAAGAGTAGCATCTGTAAAGGAATGTTTCATTTTTTTTCCTTTTTTTCTTTTTAATTACTATCCCCATCTTAACCACAATTTTCTAGTTTTTTTTTTTTTGTCATCGTTGTTTTTTTTTTCTAGAAAAATATTTTACAAACAGAAGAATCTTTCATGGTTGACCTTTGTCGACCCTCAACTTTATCTGCTAATAATTCACTTAATTCTGCTAATCGTACTAATGATACAAATAATGGAAGTTCAAATTTCTTCCCATCATTATTCGTACGCATCGACCTGAATGTAATAAAAAAAAAATAAGCATTAACATTTTTTTAATATTTATTTCAGCTTCCTTATTCACAATTGATTGGCCCTGATAGACAAGAGTCGGTTACAGCAGCCATAGCAGCTGCAACAGCTGCTGCTGTAATGGCATCATCAGCTATGGAACGAACACGTCTTGAAGAAGAAAAATTACGTGTTCAAGCTAAAGATAAAAAAGATCAAAGTAATATTTATTCAATTTTTGTATTTCTTAAAATGACTAGAGAACAAATTTGTATTTATTATCTCTTCAGGTGCAAATGCATCGGCAGAGGTTAAAACTCATTTGAAAAGTTTTATATGTCGAAAATTACAAAAAGAAGGCAAACTGGGGTAAATTAAAAATCTTTCAAAAAAAAAAAAAAACAAAAAATTATTTTGAATATAATCTTATAGAAGTCAAGAATCAATCGAAATGTTAAGACGATTTCAATCAGAACCTGCACTTGCTAATCCACGTCTCGAATCAGGCAATTTTAAAATCAAATCCGATTTGCGTCAAAGTATTCTTCATCGCCATCGGCATGTTACACCAATGTCAGATAAACGTCATCCAATACGTTCAACAAATCTAGCCGAAAAACAGAAACACGCTTGTATGTATCAAATAAACATCTAGAATGTACTAAAATTACAAAAACAACAAAGAAGAAACGTGTTGATTTCCATTAATATTCTATAAAGTTTATTTTTAGTTAAGAAAAAGTAAAAGAATCACGCATTTTCTTAACGGAATTCCGCTAAAATAAACATAGCTCCTTTAGTCTTTATAAAAAAAAGTACTATTTTTAATAATCTTATTTCTATTCAATTATCGGACTAAAACTATTAATGCAATATAGCATGCCACCTCTATTTTTCTAGGAAAAAAGTA